AGGTGGGAGGGCCTTTTTTTTTTTTTTTTTTTTTTTCCTTCTGATCTGTTGTGCAACCTCTGAAGCATATAAGCCTTCTCTTGCTGATGTAACCAGCATATCCTTTCTTGTTTCCCATAAGCAAGGCTTTCCCAGGAGGGACCAGCCTTGGAGTTCAGGATGTGTCCAAGCTAAACAACCCTTCCTTCTCCCCACTGCTTTTATTTTACTTATACAGAAAAAAATACTACAACTTCTTGAGCTTTAAGTGTAGGAAGAGGCAGAGAGGAGAGGGCAATTAAATCTGGCTCTTGTAGTTCCAGTTTCTTAAAAGGATGACCATCTCACTTCCTAAGAAATCCACTACTTCTGCAGTGGTGGATATTGTTGGTCCCACTGGTTATCACCCTCTCAGTCCTGGGAGGAAAGAAGTGCACATGGTGCGAAAAGGGCGATTGGTGGGATACATCTACTTTCCCACAAAACTCAAGTAAGCAGCAACGGATGTCTCTGTGGACAGTTCTCTCCTTGCTCTCTTAGTTAGCCTGGTGATCACCTTGGCTTTCTGCAGCATCACAGAAAATCTTTAGCTTTCCAACAAACACTGTCATACCAGCAGCTACAAGGGAAATAAATTATTAGGACTAACTTGTGTTAGTCTAACCAGTTGTGCTCAGTCTCTGGAAGAGGCATGCAGTAATTCCTCTTACTTGCTGTAGTTCCCTGGAAAGGGGCCAGGAAGGTTTACAGCTGTGAGGGCACCTGGGCAAAAGGCAGGGGTACAGGCTACAGAACTTTGGGACTGTAGGGTGTCCAAGTTCTTCACATGCAACATCAAGGCAAGAGCATTAAACTTTTTTTTTAAATGAGTGAAGGGATTCAAACTTGGTCTCCATCAGTTACAGCAACAGAGAGGGAAGCAGCCCCTTGACAAAAGAGCTCTGCTGCTGTGACTAAGTGTATTGATATTAATGGCTATACCCATATTGATATTTTTCCTACTGTGTAGATTCTGATGCATGGACAGGGAGGACAGTTTCTTCCCTTTGCTCTTCACATGTCCTCCCTTTCAGGTGTTCCCATCCTGAGCGACAGAGGCAACTTACCTGATTGAACCAGAATGCCTTAAAACTTTTAGATTACAAAAAGATGCCATAATTAATTTTCCTTAATGTACCAGCTTGTACCATATTTTTCCTTACTGTGGCCTGTCCCAGATTTCTCCCTGTGGGAGGGGGAAGTCCTACCTTTCTTCAGGGTAAATGGTTCCTGCAGACAAATCCAAATTTCTCTTCCTATTTGTAGTTGTGAGGTATCTTGATACTGGTTTGACTGAAACATGATAACCAGCACGTGTAATTGTTATTTTAGTCACATTGATATCTCTGAAAAAAACTTGTGCCAGCAAACAAGGTGCATGTACCTGGCCTTTGTTTTCATAAGCACAGCTGTTTTTCTTCCTGTGGTTGTTCTTACAGATTCATTAAGAGGTTTTCTCTGCTGGCTTTGTGGGGCTGTGAGGAGGGGTAAGCATGTTATGCCTGAAGGAAGGAAGCTTGAGGCTCTTAAGTGGTAGCAGTTGCTTCACTGTGTTGAGCAAGATGGTAACCATCACAGATGGGCTTGGTTTTTACCTCATTAGATGCTCTTTGAGCTAGCATCACTTCAAAGACATTCATGTCTTGTTCTTAAAAGCTATGTGTATTGTTCTAAATCTGTTGGTTTCGGTGCCTTTGGGGACTATTGGATGTCTTCCAGTGTGGATGTCCATCCTTTTGGAAACTTGGCATGTGTAAGTACTGGCATGGTGTGCGTGAACTTGATTTTTCAGGACACTTTCTGCAGAAGTATTTGCTTGCATGTCTCCTTCCCTGCATGTTTTTGTCTCAACAGATGGGAACTGCTCAAAACAACAGTGACATCAAAAAACTCCATGCAGTGGAGCTAGACCTGTGTAACAAGGACATGATGGCAGACACATCTGATCATAGCATTATTTCTGTTGGAGAAGAGGAAGGAGCGGGCAATTTCCAACGTTTTCTTCCAACACGAGAGTCCATCCGATCCCCTCGGGGCTCTGTTGTGAGTTTCCATAACATCCAGTACTCCGTTAAGCTGTCCAGTGGATTCCTATGTAAACGGAAAACTGTGGAAAAGAAGATCCTTCATAATGTTTAGTAAGTTCTTGCTTAATAAAATACCGGAGGGTAGGAATTAATCTGCTGCTGTGAATAGGTGACTTCAGTGTCACATTCCAGATCCAGCTGTGGTGGTAAAGAAATGACTACCCTCCTGCCAGTCTGCAGTTCATGTGAGAAGTTTCCAATTTGTTTTTAGACAAAACAGCCGGGATATAGGTGGAACAGTTTGTTACTGATCTGAGCAAATTAGGACCAAACTTATGTGAACTCTTCTGCCAGATGATATGAGGGTCCCCTTAGCTATAGTTCAAGCTGCAGTCAGAGGAAATAAGCAGCAGAGAGCAGTTGTTTCTTCTTTTCAAGACCCAGCTTAGTAGAGAAGACACTTAATTTGTCTTTTGTAGAGTGCTTTTTATATCCAGCTCTGGTTCTGTTCTGACAGTCTGGGACAAGAAAGGAAAAATGCTTAGTGATTTCAGATTTAAGGAGAAGTTTTTAATAATCTCTTAAGTTTTCCTTTCAACAGCACTTTTTTTCACACCTTATCTGTACCACAAGCTACATGTGAACAGTCCTCCATTTGGAAATAACTTTTTCCTTCTTCCAGTGGCATTATGAAGCCAGGCTTGAATGCTATCCTGGGGCCAACCGGAAGCGGTAAATCTTCGTGAGTACTTTTCTTCTGCTCCTTCAAATGGACAGTCAGCTGTTCAAAGAGGGTTTGGGGTTCTGAGGGTTAGGGGAGATGTGAGGGGTCTGCAGGCTCAGACCTTTGCATGCCTGTGAGAAATCTGGTTATGCAGCTTGACCTTGTGCCCCTCTATTGGAGTTCTTGCCCAGCAGTGGTGTCACACCCCTCATCTGCTCCAATTGGTGGTTCATATTACTGCAGTCGCCTTTGGTGGTGGCCTGAGTTATAATACCAGGCTGAACTGGGGTGACTGGAGCTCAGGTGTAGGCTCTGTCCTAGACCTGTAATGGAGTGGGGAGGGGGTGCAAACTCCCTTGTGAAGTCATTGCAGCAAGACTTCCTTCAAGATGCTAGGCTAAACCCCTCTCTGACAACTGACAGGAATATGATGTAATGTCAGACTGTAGGGTGCTCTGGATCCTCACCCCAGCTTGGCTGTGGCCTGATGGTGAGGGTATACATGTGCTTGAGTTCTTTGGATGAAAGCACAGAGAAATACCATGCAGACTATCTCCAGCCAGTGCCGATGCTGTTTTCTCTCCTGTATAACTATGGTAAGAGATCTCTGCCGTTGAGGATGTCAGAGACTGGCAAATATGGCCAGGGTTCACGCAGGTGTGTCTTTGTGGTGACCCTTGATCTTCGTCTCTAAGGAGACTGATGGCTAATCAGGATGTTTTTAAGAGCAGCACTTCATCAGGGTGGTGTTTACTTAGCTAGCAGATAGGCTGGCCTCTGCATTGGAAGTAAGGGCAATTACTTTTTAGATCTTAACTCTAGCCTTGTTTATACACATTTGGATTAATTTCCTTGAGATCAAAGTAGTTAATTCTGTGCTCCCCTGGCTGGAGAGTGGACTGCAGCTACTCAGCAGGGTGCTTTTGTCTCTGTGCATTTGAGGTTAGCTGTTAATACGGAGGCTGAGTTTATGTCTGTAGGAGGTTGACTGCCATGAGCTGTGAGGTTTGTTTACTGCTATGCTGCTGTGGCACACCTTGTGCTGGAAAATTCTGTTTCTGCACCAGGCTTTCTGTACAAAGAGCTAAAGCCCCTTTCTGTGCCCTTTGGTTTGCAGCATGCCGTGATCAGGCTATAACTACAGTCCTGACTGGTGGTACTTATCTAGCCAAAGGTAAAAACAGCTGTTATGACAAAACCTAATGCCTGGTGTTTGTCTGAAGTCTCCTAGATGTGCTGGCTGCCAGAAAGGACCCAGCAGGCCTGTCTGGAGAAGTGCTTATAGATGGCATCCCTCAACCTCCAAATTTCAAGTGCATCTCAGGATATGTTGTGCAGGTGAGTAACTGCCTTCAGTGGAGGTCTGGGAGCCCTTGGGAGGGACGACTGCATAAGATAAGCAAAATATGAACTACTAGTTTAGGTAATTTTCAATGATTCCTACAGAATCTAATTTGATAACTCAGATGTTACAGTATTTAGTATTTTTCTGGGATATGGAAGATCAAACTGTTACTCCTATCAAGTCAAGCACAGAGGTGTTTGTCTTCCCAAAGCTACATAGATGCCCAAACCACTAAGCTACTATGGCTTGTTCTTTGGGCTCTGCCCTGAAGTACTAGCGATGGTTAAAAAACCAAACCAAAACAAGTTAGGAAAAAACCCAGAATCTCCTTTTGTAAAACTCAGAAGCAGTTCTAGCAGTTCTAGTACCTTTAAGTTATCAGACAATAATTCTAGGAAGTAAATAAATCCCTGCTCTTCTTCCTCTGATTCTGGCTGGCTGGGACAGAGCTTCATTCCACTTGGAGACAGGAAAAGCCAGCTGAATCTGCGGAAGTGGGTGGAGGCCTCGACCAATAATAGACCTTTGAAGCCCTGGGGGCGCTGAGGAGAAGGGGATTCTTGGCAGCCATATGAGCAGCCAAATCTGGAAACCATTCAGGCTTCTGACTTTAGGCAGATGTGAAATAGGCAGCTTTTCTGAAAGCTGCCAGCTGGGGGGCTCTGGAAGGATGCAGATGACAAGACTGATGCTGAGTCTTGATCCTGCAGGTCAAAGATCCCAAATCCTCAGTGTTTCATGAATGGCCAGGAAGTTTCTTGCAAGTGGTCCCAGTTGTCTCTCAAATGTCCAAAGCAACCAAACTTAACCTAAAAATGATAAGGTCCAGAGTTGGGTCACGAAGATGATCAGGGAGCTGGAGCACCTTCCTTATGAGGACAGGCTGTTCAGCCTGGAGAAGAGAAGGCTCTGGGAACACCTTATAGTGGCCTTCCATACTGGAAGGGGGCTACAGGAAAGATGGGGAGGGACTCTTCCCAGGGCTTGTAGTGATAGTATGAGGGGTGACAATTTTAAACTGAAAGAGGGTAGATTTAGATGAGATACAGGGAAGAAATTCTTTACTGTAGCATGGTGAGACACTGGAACAGGTTGCCCAGAGCAGTTGTGACTGCCCCCTCCCTGTCAGTGTTCAAGGGCCAGGTTGGACAGGGCTTTGAGCAACCTGTTCTAGTGGAAGGTGTCCCTGCCCAGGGCAGGGGGGTTGGAGCTAGATGGTCTTTAAGGTCCCTCCCGACCCAAACCATTCTATGATTCTATGATAGGCAACTGGGGGACCCCTCTGACCCCTGTGCAGTACTCCCTAGATCAATAAAGATGGCCCAAAGACTACAAACAAAACTTAAGGCCTAAACACATACATACTTAGAGGGTCAATTTTATTCAGATGAACATACAGACATGCTAAGTCATGTGTTATAAAACTGCTGGTGGTCTCTCTACTCATGCCTTGCAAATCAAGGTGTCATGCCACAGTTTATTATGTTTGGTATTAAGGTAGCTTAAATTCACAGTTTAGTTTCCAATGTGGTGACCCAACAGTTGTATTGGTGCATCTGAGGATGGGGAATGGGAGGCTAGGCTGAGAGACTCAGGGTGTATGGGGAGGGAAGTGATGGTAGGAAATTCCTAAACCAGCTTTGGTAGCAAGGCCAGTTTATCATAATGCTACACCCTGAGTAATCCGTGACATACTTCTAGCACAGCAGCCTGTTCAGTCTTCCTCTTTTAACTCCAGTGCCAAACATGGTTGGCTGGCACCCTTTGTGCTGCTGATCAACTACATCATATGTGGAAGGAGTCCCAAAGCAGGCAAGAATCTGCTGCCCTGCAGCTTAGGGTCTGTGTCTTCCAAAAGGGCACTAGATTTGAAAGGTGCCTAGTTAACAGGCATGTTTCTGAGCAGCTGCCCAGTGTTGCAGACCTTCTCCCATCATATGGCAGGATGCAGAATTTGCTTGAACATTAAAGTAGGGGTGATGGAGAGGCATGAAACTGATGTCAACTCTGTTTGCCTCATGGTTGTTACGGGTTGGTGTAGGCTGCCCATATGTTTGTCAAATTGATAGATTTGATTCTTACTAAAAATGCATGAGTGTTGAAGCTTTTCTAAAGGAGTAGTCCTTAGTATAAGGTCTTGTGCCCAAGAGTTATAGATAGTTGAGACATGGAAAAAATCTGGAGCATCTTGGTGCAATATTCTTGTTTCTCTGAGGAGCTGCTACCAGCAAGGAGTTGGGGAGAGCTCCTTGTTGGCATATGAACTTGGCAGGTGCTCTGGACCACAGAGAGATATGGCTTGTAACTAGGAACAGAGCTGACTTGGGTGACTCCCTGAGTGTCTCTACCTTGAACACTGAGCACTAGCAATGTCCCTTGGCTTCACCTGCTCTCCTCCCTTTGGGTGGTAAGGAAAATGAACATGCAGTACAAAATGGTACTGTCTGCCCTTGAACTCCTGAGCCTAAAAGCAGGTTGAGGTGATGCTTGATGTAAGGTGGAAGTCTTCAGAGTTGCATTCTCCCCTTAACTGATACTGAGTGACCTTGAATTTTGTGTTGTGTAAGATTTGAAGCAGTGGTTGCCCAGTTTCCACTGTGGTCCACATGCAGCTCATCCAGCAACCTACAGGGACTCTGGTGCCCAGTCAGGTAGCTGAGAAGGAAGCTTTCCAACCATCCATTTGTACTGTTTTCAGGATGATGTTGTCATGGGCACAATGACAGTGAGGGAGAACCTGCACTTCTCTGCTGCTCTGCGACTCCCCAGCTCCATCAGTGTTGAAGAGAAGGAAAAGCGAGTCACCCAGATCATCAGTGAGCTGGGATTAAGCAAAGTGGCTGATGCTAAGGTGAGCAGTGAGAATATCTTTCTCAGAAACCATACTACCTTTGGAAACCGAACTACTTAACTCTGGACAGTATGGCATACGTGGTATGGCATACGCAGTATGGCAGCTACACCAAGCTAAGCAGGAACCTGACTAAACTATACTGCACACAAGAAATCAGTCTCAAGCTCAGGAGATAGACTGGAAAGAGGTATGTGCATTTGCTACTAAAAGGGGAAGATTCTGGACCATGTTCAGCATGTTGTTTAACTTCAGAGGGGAAAAAGTCACCTACTCATTGCACCTTGGAAAGCTGCTCAGTCACTTCCTGACTTTGTGGGACAAGACAGGGAAATTGTTTTTACAGTGCTGAAAGCTGTGAGGGATGGAAAGGTGGGCTGTGATGGGGAAATTTTGTGCAGAGCTTGTTCAGAAGCATTTTTACTCTTACTTTATTTACCCACCTCTTACTTGAGCAGCAGGTGAGCTACCAACAAAGGGCATCCCTGAACACTAGTGCCACCTCTGACTGCTATGGCCTTGTTCTGGCTCTTCTTTGTCAATGACATCCTTATTCCCTGAAGTCATAAGGTGCCTGGTACCTCTGAAAATCAGGCTCTGCTTACTGATACACAGTCCCTCAGTCTGAGTCAGACTCATAATCTGCTGCTGGAGTTCACTAATGGGACTTTGAAAATGAAAAGGGCTGCTGGGTATGGAGAGTCCTGAACTCCAGAGCATGCACTGACTAGGTCTTGTTGTAAATATCTGATTTCTTCTGCTTGTAGGTAGGAACCGAATTGATCCGGGGAGTGTCTGGAGGGGAACGGAAGAGAACCAACATTGGGATGGAGCTCATCACAGAGCCACCAGTCCTTTTTCTGGATGAGCCAACAACCGGCCTTGATGCCAGCACAGCCAATGCAGTCCTCATCCTCTTGAAGAAGTAAGCGTCAGTTCTTCAGGGGTCTGCTGCAATTTTGATGTCAGCTCATTAGTAAAATAGCAATGCTGTTATGACTGAGCAGCTACAGTGCTCTTTTTTTTTTTAAAAAAAAAAGCTAGACAAATAGACTCAGAATTAGTAGTAAATTATTTATTTGGGCCTTATCCAAAGCCTTTTGAAGTTGATGGGAATCTTTCCACAGCAAGAATTGGATTGGAGCCCAAAAAGCAGATGTAGCTTGGACAGCTTCCCTTTGCCACAGAGAGGGTTGGAATGGGAGGTCAGGTCTTGTAATCATTTCTTGGTCTTCCAGCTGAGTCAATTACAAAGTCTCTTCCTTCACTCTGGCAACAGCCTCGAACTCAGATCAGACTTCACCTGCAGATTTACCTTCAGTGTTTACCCTCAGTGTTTACCTTAATCTCCTATGTTTTGGACATGAACTCTCTTCTGGTACAAAGAAAACCAAACAAGGCTTATTTAATGAGAACAAGTTCCTAAGCCTCCTCCTAGGTTTGTAGCATTGGGGGGATGTTTTGCTCTGCTGTTTATGGATAGAGGTCTTTGATGGGCAAGGATACTTGTTGGGCATAAGTGTTAAAGCACTTGAAAGAGTGCCTGACAAACCTGAAGGAAAACTATTTTTGACTTTTCTAGAGTAAATCTTCAGCAGAAGAGCTAAGAGAAATCTCAGCTGGCCAAACTTCCACAGCCTGCTGTGTAAAGCCTGGTAATGCCACTGAGTGCAGTAGGACCATTCCAGTTAGTCAACTTGAAACCTGGTGTAGGAAACATGTAAGGAGGGTTTATACACAGCTGTGGCCTCAACCTTTGCTAGCTACAGACATCATACTTTGTCTACTCAGACTGCAATGATGATCTCTTGTAATAACGGGTGCTGTCTTGAAGGCAGTATCTGACACAGTGACAGAGAAGGGGGAACTACTGCTTTTCTGGGTCAAGACCCTGAGAAGGTGACAAGTATTTGTCTTGGTTTTGGATACTTATTTTTTGCTTGAGTTAACATGACCTTTCTGAAATGCAAAGTGTGGTGTATTTGAGAGATGTTTTGGTTTTATTTCAGACTCTCAAGAAGAGGACGAACTATCATATTTTCCATCCATCAACCCCGCTATTCCATATTCAAGCTGTTTGACAGTCTGACATTGCTAGCTTTGGGAAAGGTACTGTACCATGGTCCTGCGAAGCAGGCCCTGGAGTACTTCAGTTCTATCGGTAAGTCTTTGGTGCCAGGAGTAAAGGCAACTGGATAATGAGTTTAATCTGTGGGTAGATTCTTACTAGGATAGTAGAAGCTGTACACATACAGGCTGAACAATGTTATGTTACAACAGGAAAAAAAAAAAAAAATTTCAGACAACACAGAACATGGATTTCTCCTGCCATTGTTTTGCTTTGCATCAGGACAAAACCCCCGAATCATTTGGGCATTTAGAAGCATGATGCACAACAGACAAGATGATACTTGTAGTTCTACTGGGCTTAGGTGGTAGACCCAGTGGCTTTTGAACCACAGCCTGCAGATTGGCAGCAATCTGTAGGGGCCAATCCAAGAGTCTTCTCTAGTCTGAATGCAGTGGGCAACTGAAAGAACAAAATCATGGTGTGTCTTAAAATGGGTTAATAATTGCACTCTTGGGTGGCTGCCCTCTCTCCACTCAAGTAATCAGGGTGAGGGCTTCTGACTATGATGAATAGAGAATGTGGAGTGAATTTCCAGTCTAGTCTAGATGTAGCCATGGACAATTGGATTGTAAGCTTTGCTTGGCTTTTAAGGGAGATGCTTTAACTAATCTCGCTACTTCTACTCCCCCTCTTACTATGCCACCTCACTTCCTTTCTCACAGGAATGTTATAGAATAAACATTGCTTTTTTTTACTTCTTTCCTTCTCATCCTGTTGCTAGAACCATATTATAAGAAGCTACTCGTGAACAGCCCCTCCTTTTCCTTGTGACCAAGGAAGCACAAGCAAGAGTTGAGCTGTTGAGCTTTTAGAGCAAGCATCTGAGGCTGTAGAGTGGACATCCAGCAACCTCTACTGAGGAACTGTGTGTCTTTCAGAGTGGGATGAGGTTGAACAGCACTGGGAAGGAGGCAAGAGCTGTCCATGCTGAGCTGTGTGGAAGCAAGTTATGGATTTCTCCTCACCTGAAATCAGCGGAGAATAAGCATCTTTGAAGCTCAGTATAGATACCTCAGATTCAACATATCCTAAATCCTGTCCATTCTACTGCTGTAAACTAATGGTCATTGAAACTAAGGAAGTTTTCTTGTAACAGGGTTGTGGAAGAGTAATATAGTATTAGACCTGACCTTCCAAGCTGTGCTCTGTGCAATGCAAGCATGTAGGATGTGTTTTTTGTTTTTTTTTTAAGGATATGAATGTGAACCCTTCAACAATCCAGCTGACTTCTTCCTTGATATCATAAATGGTGATTCAACTGCTGTGGCAGCAAGCAAGGAAGATCATGGACCTGTGGACACAGGAAAAGGTAAGTTGTGAAGGAGATACCCACTGTTGGCTGGTGTAGAAGGGAAGTTGTATGTGGTGGTGTCAAACTTTCATTTTCTGGGTTTCCTTCAGTCTAAGGCACTGCATTATCTTTTATTTTTCTTACTAATAGACATACTTTGCTTTGAGCTTTTTTAAAGACCTCAGAAAAAAATTTAAAGGGATTTTTTTCTTCCTTCAGTATATAGGAGAGCAGTGATAAATATCAGTAATTTACAAAACCTGTGTGGGAAAGACTGGAAAACTAGAACTGTGTAATCTCAAGAGACAGCTGACAGAAGACAGAAGTTTTCAGTCACATAAGAGGCTGCTGCAGAGAAGACAGTAGACAGGCTAAGGAGTAATGGATTTACAGGGCAGTGAGAAAGACTGGAACTGGATTAGAAACAAACTCTAACAATGTAGTGAGTGAAATTTTGGGAAATACTTGTTTGGGGATGCTGTAGCATATCCATGACTGAAGGGTTATAAGGGAAGAGATTTTGTAATGCTGCTTTTTGAGGATGGGGAAATGGACCAGAGCAAACATTGATTTCCCCCAAGTTCAGTGAAATAAAGGTTTTTCTGGTGCCTCATTCTAAGAATATGGCATTTTTGTGCCACAAAGAACAGGCAGATTAGCTGGGTTTGATTAAAACTGAAGGGAAACCATGTCACTCAAGCTAGCTTCTTAAGCTCAGAGCTAAGGCTTGAACAATTCTAATTCTCTGGGCATTCCTGCTTTTTTTATTCTGCCTCCAGAGTGGCTGAGCATGTTGATGGGCCATGTTTGAAGGTAGATTTTGTGGGGAATCACAAGCCATATCTTGTCTTTCTCACTCAGAGGTGAGCAGTGCAAATGGAGTGGCAGAAGATAACATGGACAGCAATGTGGTAGATCTGCTACACCAGAAATATCTCAACTCCAGCCTGTATCAGAGCACAAAGGAAGCACTGGGGAAAGTGGAACTTGGACAGGGAAGCAAGCAGAGAGTATCCAAGCAGGAGCATGAGATTACCTATGCAAATGGATTCTTCACCCAGTTGTATTGGGTGTCCAAGCGTTCCCTGAAAAACCTCATCAGGAACCCACAGGCCTCTGTTGCACAAGTAGGTTAACAATTGCTAAAAATCTCAGACTCCCTCTGCTCTCAGTCGCGCAATCTACAGTTTGTAGGACAGACTTTTGTTTTTAAAGGCAGCCTGTGGCACTGCCACTTGAGTGAGATATCCAGCTACCTTTAGTTGCATTTGAAAAAAATCTCCATTTTAGTTTAGCACAAGGACTACTGCACCAAAGATGGGGAGTGGGGGGATTTAATTCACATGAGGAGCTTCTAGGGTGATGTTAATTTTGTCCCTCACTTGAAATTTCAACCTGGGTTATTCTTTGAGTGTGCTTCTACTAACCTTTCCCATCCAAAGAAGATCAGAGGAAGGAGAAGAGTGAAGAGGATAAAGCCAGAAAATTTGCTCTAAGGCTTTTAATTGTGTGTGTCATAGGCATACATTGACTCACAACAGCAAAGTTTCAGGCAGGTGTGAATTTTAAACCCTGCATATGCATTAATAATAAGTTTGTTCCTATTTACTTATCTGAAGGACTCCCTTTTCCCTTTCTTCTTTCCAATTCTAGATTGCAGTGACCATAATTCTAGCCTTGGTTGTGGGTGCTATCTTTTTTGGTGTAAAATTGGATCGAAGTGGCGTTCAGAATCGGTAAGTTGGAAAGCCACAGCTTTGCTTGTTTTTCTATCTGTAGCAGCCAGGTTTCAGCCACATGGAAGGCCTTGGGATCCACTGGGACCACAAAGGAGGGTTGGGTTTGGCAAGCCTCAGTGTGCTGCAGCATGGTATTGCCAGAGGTCCTAAAGGAACTGCAGCTCTGTCAGGCTCACACATACATATAAAGGAGATGTGAAAGGGAAGATAAAGGAATAAACCTGGGTTTACAGCTAAGATCTACAGTAGCACAATTAAATATTTCCATTCTGTGGACAGAGACAGAAAACCACTGGCTTGATGGTATGATGATGTCTGAGGCTGCCACTGTTGATCTAGGCTGTTTTCTTACTTTTCAACTGTTCTGTTTTGCATTTTAGGGTTGGATCTTTGTTTTTTGTCACCACAAACCAGTGTTTTTCCAGTGTCTCTGCAATTGAGCTGTTCATCAGAGACAAGAAACTATTTGTGTAAGTAGTGAGGCACTTTGATTTTCTCATACCCTGGAGTAAGGCAGGGGGAGTATCTTACAGGCTAAACAAAGTAATTTCCATCAAAGACTTGATTGTTCCCTTGCAACATCAAATTGTAGTAGTAATGCTAAATTGGTCTGTAGAGCAGGGAGCTGAAATACTAAGTGATGGGTGAAGGAGGGAGAAATAAAATGTTTATAATTGCTTGCTGTGTCAGAGTTTATTGAGAAGTACTTTTCCTATCCACTTTTGGTAACAGCTGTTTTTCAAGTCTGCATGTGAATCCTGTAGACTGTGAACCCTGCCTGCCCTCTTGCTGACAGGGTTGAAATGTTGTCTTGCAATAGTCCTATGGTGGTAAGACTGGAAGGATGGAGGGATAGTTCTTGGAAAAGCTCTTTGCAAGGGATGCTCAGATGAAGAGGGCTGCCGGCTGGCTTACAAGTGCTCCCTAATAATGAAGCTTATCTCTCTGTCTATATATATATGTGTGTGTATATGTGTTTGTATGTGTGTATAAATATGTGAATGCATGTATATATTACATACACACATGTATATATACATATGTATTGAAAATGTTATTTGGAATAGCCTCTAGCTCATGGGATGAAAGGGCAGGACACAGATCTTACGCAATTGGAGATTTGTGCCTGGAATGCACATGTCTACCCACAGGTTGCTCAGAGCAGCTTAATATTGCCTGTAACAGCTGCTCAGGGGTTATCTCCCCCACACTGACATTTCTTACCAGTCTGCCATGCTTACCAGCTTAGTTTACCAGCTGTGTCAATGGGGATTTTGGGACCTCACCAATTAAAGCATCTTTTCATGAGCTCTATTAAGTAGCAACACAATCATAATGACATTTAATTGCCCTGTGAACTGGAGGTGAGTTTATGTCCCATAGTTGTTTTCCCATTGTTGGGTATCATTCCTTCTTTCCTGGAAGCAGCTGTGTAAGTTGGCTGTGGATTAAGTGTTTCTCCAGTTAATATCAGTCTAATACTTTCCCATGCTCTTGAGTTAAGGATCATTCACTTTGAAAAGAGATTTAGGAGCTTTTTGCCAATATGTTACTTAGCAGTCATATAGCCTTTCATTCACTTTCTTCACAGGGCTCTTGGTATGACTGCAGGGCCTCTGAGATGGATCAGCCCTTACTTTACAGAGTGGGAAGTGAGCACAGAGAAAATAAGCAACTTGCATATAGAGGAATCAGTGGTAGAGAAAACAGAAACCAAATGAGGATAAACCAGACACACATGCTGCACCTACTCCTAGATAACCTCTAAACCTGTACAACTCCCCTCCTTCTTGTCCTCACAGCCATCAATACACCAGTGGATATTACCGTGTGTCTGCCTACTTCTTGGCCTTGATGATAGGAGATCTGCTGCCCATGAGAACTGCTCCAGCCATCATATTCTCATGTATCAGTTACTGGATGATTGGTAAAGAACTGATGCTTTTGTTGAACCTGTCATCTTCAACACATTTGATTTTTGGCTTAGCCAGAGTTTAATTCCTATATGAAACTAGTTGAACCTTCAACTGATTTAAGTGCTTGGCATCATAACTTCAGAGAACTCTGGGGCAGGGGCACAGAAACAGCAGTCTTAAGACAGGGACATGATTGACCACATCGTTCAGTAATGCTCTTTGGGCCTTTGGAGCATGCATAGGTCCTGCTAACTCCAAACTTGCTCTTTCTTCCTTTTTTCTCTGTCTTGTATAGGACATCAAGAGTACCTCCCTGGGATTCACAATGTGGTTGTTTACTGGACTCTTTCTGTTTTTTACAGGATACCAAGCTGTTGCAGGCCGGTTCTTCTTCTTCATGTTGACTCTGATACTGGTGTCCTACACTGCCACAGCCATGTCTCTGGCTATCAGTGCTGGGATGGATGTGGTAGCTGTGGCAAATCTGCTCATCACTATTTGTTTTGTCCTGATGCTTGTAAGTGTATAAGGGTGTGTGTGCTCCTTTGGTGGAGGTGAGGAAGCAGATGAGAGAGGCTGAGAGGACTGGGTCGAGCCAGTCCTAAGCAGGTTGAGAATCAGTCCAGTAGCATGTCAGACCCGTGCCTGTTGTTATACAGATGAACTTCTGCGAACTTGTAATCTAGGGATCAAATAATTGCTCAGGTGCAATTCTTGCTCTGAGCAATCATTGCTCAGGTGCCACCATATCTTTGCAAACAGTGCTTTTGCAATAAGTTAAGTGATAGTGTGTCACTTCAAATGGTTGCTGTGGGCAAAAAGTGTGCATGTGTAGTGAAGGGCAGCTGATGTACATTGAGTTAAGTCACAGTATATAAGGAATGGTACATGCACATTCTGAAAGACAGCAGAGTAAGTACAAAAACACTTGTGATGAAGCACAGCCTGAAGGGTCATGTTTAGCTATGAAGTACAATTGTGCTAAGAAGTAAATGAGCAAACCTTGTTCCAGGCAGGAGAAAGCACAGATAAAAGATGTAGATAAAAGGAGAAAGCTTGAAACGTAACAGCTCTTAAGGCTCCCCATAGTTTCCTTTCTGTTTCTCCACTTCCTCATCTCCCAGTCATCCTTCCTTAGCCTCTGGCTAGCTCTACCATATGACACAGTCCTCCAGAGTAAGAAGTTGGTAGCGTGCATGCTTCTTAGCTTATACGTGGATGTAGAAAACCTTTCTGACCTCTTTGCAAGCAGTTCAGCTGGAGTACTTGGGTGTGCTGTTGGGTCAGCTGGCTGGGACTGCTGCAAGGTTTGAACTTCATGCCTGTAGGCACAGGCATAACAGCAGCAGGAGGTCCAGTGCACCTCTGCTAGGCAAGTGCACTATCTGCAGGAATGGCTTGTTTACAGTAAACAGAGTTTGTGACTCATTAGTCTCTTCTGTTCTATTTCAGATCTTTTCAGGCCTCTTAGTAAACCTCCCTTCTGTAATGGGCTGGCTGAATTGGCTCAAGTACTTCAGCATCCCCCGATACGGCCTCACTGTGAGTATAAACTAGCATCAGTCTCTTGTGAGCAATGTAGCCACACTGCTGCTTCCTGGAGACATTTTGAGTATAAATGAAGTTCTCTTAAAAGTCAGATTTGGTTTCTTTCCTTGTATGAACATGTTAAAAGAAGAACAAACCATCCAACCCCAAAAAGGATGCAGAAGTTAATCTCTGTGTGAGAGGTGGAAGTCTCAGAGACTGAACAAATAAATCCTTTGTGCCACAAAATTAGTGCTACTTGGACAGCAGCAGAGTGAACTGTCCAGTGGGGCACTAATTCCTAGCCTGAATAGCTGACCCCTATGGTTTATAATAAAGTCAAATATTGAATGGCCTCTGCAGAGACTGCTGTTTGGGTGGCCAGTCTGAGGTTAATGATTGTCCAGTTGGTTAAAGGATTTGCCATAATACCTGAGTGTCTCAGTCTTCAGTGTGGCTTCCTCTGAAGTGAAATATGACTTACTGCCATTTCTGAAGAATAAGGAGCTGGAGTATCAGAAAGCTAAGTGTGCAGCTGCTTGAAACAGTAACTAGACATAGCAGGTCACCCACTGGTCACAGGTGGGAGTTGTGCTTCCATCTCCTATCTTCACCCTGGCTAAGCCTATTTGGGAGGAATAGTTTCCTACCTTTCAGTAAAAATGAGTGAAATGAATGCTGGAGCTGGTGCAGGGTAATGTGGGCAGGACCATGTTGACTGGCAGTGGAAGAGAAAGGTAGGCTGAGGGAGGGCAGGGAGATGTGTGAGACCTTCCCTGTTTGGGTATCATTGAGATATTTTATGAGTGTTGCTGAATGTGGAAGTGTCCCCTGAGACTGCAGTCCAGGATGCCAGAGCAAGGGAAACCTTCCCCTCTTGTCTTGGCTGACTGTGCCATCTGCTTCAGTGTGCTGGTGCTGGGGTGTCTGCATACAGCCCCAAGTTTTTCTGGGTCGGTAGATTGACTGCAATGGAAGTGGATGAACAGGAGCTTGTAGCTGGCAAGACAGAAACCCATGGCTAAATCACTGAAATGTAACTTTGAAGTCAAAGACTCAGACACCAAACCATCCTGCATGTAGAACTTGAAGCAGTTCCTCAGAAGGGCAGTAATTAAAAGCTCCAGAATAAAAAGGAAGATAGAGTTCCAAGAGTGGTGATGTGTCTTCTAATAATCATGTTCCTTTGAGGTGTTTCAGTGTTAGCACCCCAAATCACCAACTCTGTAAAAATCTGATGTCTGCCTCTTTCACTAGGCTCTTCAAGTGAATGAGTTCAGAGATCTCTACTTCTGTGGTGAGAAGAATCCAAACGTTACAGTGTCTGTGGGAGATGCAGGCAGTTGTCCCCCTGATACTTCAGGAGAACTGTAAGTCTCTTAACTCATGGTGGTTCTTGGGCCTGAATTATGATGGTTTGCTTAAAGAGAAGTCTGACGGTTTCAAATTTTTATATTGTTCAGAGAATAACCATTCATAGGCCAGTCTCAATAATATGTCCCAAAATAGTGTATTTTAGGGTTATATAGTAAAACTTCACAGTTACCCAAGAGTGAAATAGGGATAAAACTTTAGTCCCCAAAATACACAGATGAGCTAAATTAAGTCTTGTTTTTTTATAACCCAGCTTATAATTTTTTTTAAACAAGCCCAGGGTCATTTAGCAATAGAATTGCAATGTGTGGACAGCTACAGAGTTGTTGGGAAGCAGTAGACCTGTGATCAGAAACATGCCTGCCTCTCAGAGCTTGTTTGTAAATACTAACCTCCCTGCAGATACAGCAGAGAGCCAAGGTATCTCCCAGTGCTACTGCCCCATTTAAAATAGTCTTGACTATTGATACCTTAAGTTGTAGCAGTACAAGTATTTCCTGACACATGCTAGAGGGCTTGCAAACTGGGGTTATTGCGGGGAACAGTGCTAGAGCACTGTTTCCACAGCTTTAGGACCCTAAACCGCTGCTGTGGACCTCCAGTGATTCCTGTGTGAAAAACTAATGCTTTTGTACTTATCATGGTTTAATGCAGTTCTGAGGTTTACCATAAATTGCCAGCTATCTATAAACAACAATTAGGATACTACTGAAAATTGATGAGAACCAGAGATCTACATTTGTCCCTTAAGATTTTTTTTTTTTAGTGATAGGTTATGAAGTTACTCCAGTTGTCACCTGCTTTGCAGAGTTGAGGGTGGAATAATCTTTGTGGAACAGGAATAGAATTAATGACCTGAAGACTTGTACTGCATAGTGATACCAACTTCTGCCCCACGCTTTTCTGCAGGTGTTCTGGTGAAGCATACCTGTGCAGCCAAGGAATCGCACCTACCAACTGGGCAATGTGGGAAAACCTAGTGGCTCTTTTCTGCATGACTGTTATCTTCCTTATCATTGCCTATGCAAAACTCCGTTTTATGAGAAAGTTCACATAGACTCCTGTGTTGCCTTGCTCTGCAGCTTCTCCAGTCTTAAAACTGCAAAGCTTGTTGGGGCCTGCTGGAGATTGCCAAAAGATTTCAACTGACATTATTGGACATCAGATGGGAACCTTGTTCCCGTGTTTCTGGACCATGATCTCCATGATTGTATGATTTGGGTTTTTAAGAATTGCATTAATGTACATTGCATAAGTGATTTTTTTTTTTGTGAGAGAATACAGTTCTCATAATTCCTTAGGTCCATATCAAACTATATATTGTAAAGCATTATTCTTCTGTACCCAATTACACAGGAAATGTTCAAAGGGAAACATTTTCCTTTGAACGTGTGAGCTTCTCCATCACAAATGGTATAAGGTTATGATCGCATTTATGCATTGATATGTTGTCACTTGTTGGTGCCTGTCACACCTGGGGAGAGCCAGAGACCATTCACAGCATATTGGAGATGCATTTGAGTTTGAAGTCAGTATGGGGAATGTATTCCTTACCAAGCAAGAACAGTTAAATTTCTAGTAGCTTCTCAATGGAAGCTACTTGCAGAAACAACTTTTGCTTGATTAAAAACTAGACAGCAGTGGTGTAAGACATCTCATCTAAGAAGAGTGATAAATATATACTGTTGAACTGTAAAAAAAACCAAAACAAAACACCAAAAGACCACTAAACTAACAGAAAAAAAATACATTTACTACTTAAGAGGATGGGAGGAAATGACTTTTCTTTTTTGAACAGAAATTTGTATATTTAGCAATGGCAGATCTTTTTAACAGACTTAATGATTAGCTGTGCCATCTATATATACTGCTACTTATGTTATGGACTCAAAAAACCCACGTAGACACTGCTGTGGTAACTGCAGCCGTGCTTACCGCAGTCACCACAGGACAGGGTAGCGTGCTAGCAGCCTCACCACATCATTAGCAAAAGCAGAGCTGCTTTTGAGTTAAGACCCTCAAAAGCAAGTGCACCAGCTAAGCCAAAGGAGAACATCCTCAACACAAGGCTGGAGTTTGCTGGCCGGCCGGCGGCTGCCCTGGAGCCTGGCAGCTGCACCCCGCCAGGGGCTTATCCTCGTGTGCTTGTCACCCCACTGCGGGAGCCGCGGGCCTCGGGGCAGCCTTTGCATTCAAGCCGGTAAAAGCTGCCGACGAAGGGAAGGGCAGCCTGTCGGGTTGTGGAAGAGATGCTGAACTGCCCCAGCAAAGAGCAGAACAAGGACAGGTTGTGGTAGAAAGGTGTTTGGAAGAGAAAAGCGGTGATTGTAGCTGTCCACAGGTGGGAATCAGTTGCAGCGCCTCGTGAAACGGACTGGGGGTGGGAGGGCTGTTCTTCCATTCTGAATCAGTAACTAGAAATAAACGTCAGTAGCATTGTGCAAAGTCACTCAAAAGTTCTCTCCAAATTCTTTCCTGTCGTCTAAGCACAGGAGGGGGCTGATACTTGCAAGTGAAGTCAGGCCAGGTGCTTTTCCCTTAGATGCTCCTTAAAGTATTATTTTGAAATAATCTTGACGTTGTTTCAAGGAGACTGTCTAGTTTTGTTACCCCTTAGTGTAGACAACATATATGGAAAGTAGGTGTAGTCAAGTTGAAGGGGAAAAAAAATGGGACAATTTAAACTTTATGGTGTGTTTCTCTACCTGCTAACTTTTCCCTAACCCTGTAATATCTGTACCCTGATTAGAGGATCCTGTTGTTGAAACAGCAGAGGAAGCTAAGGAACCAGCAGAGGCAGACATCAATGAACTCTGTAAAGACATGTTCAACAAAATGGCTACTTATTTAACAGGTGAATTGACAGGTAAGGCACTGCAGTACTGACCTGCAAGTAAGTTTTTGTTTCTTTTAATTTTCTTTTAAAGAAATTTGTTTTGTAGTTTGTCTAAGCTATACCTATTTAGATCATATCTAGCAAGACTGGCAGATCAAGTCTGGCATGTTGCTAGACTGCTAATAACACTGAGGTTACTCATATTAATGAAGTATCAGAATAGCACAAATATTTTTCGGAAGAATTCGGTATGATATCAGCAACTTAGAAATATTGCTTTTTAGTCTTGCAGAAGCTTGTACATAGAAAGACAAGCAAAAGGGGTCTAGGTTAAGAAGGACTAGAAGAGAAGCACAACTGACAGTGAAATGTGCAGCTATTTTGTTTCTGAGAGCAGGGGTCATACCTGTGTTTTCCAGCATTCATGCTTTAGAATAAATTGCTGTGCAACCTTAACTGGAGAAAGTAAACTGCTCAACAAGTTAGTGGATTCCATAGGCTCTTGATTTTGAAAACGTTCCACAGCACTACTGATTTGCATGGATTTGAAGGGTATACAGTACAGATTACCAGTCTGGATTTGTGTTACCAGTTTTGTGAACATTATGTTTAACTGACAGGATAAGAGCAGAAATGTGAGGAATCAGTCCAGTTGATTTTTACAATTCACAAAATTTCATCTCTCTTTTTATAGAGCATTATTCTAATACCTGTATTACCATCTAAACTGTTCTTTGTTACATTTGGCTATTGTTTTGATATCTCTTGTCCTCTTGAAAAGTCTGCACCCAATTCAAACCAACACGATTTTTAATTAAAATAAACTCTATTCTTTTTAAGCCACCAGTGAAGACTACAAACTCTTGGAAAACATGAATAAGCTGACTAGCTTGAAGTACCTAGAAATGAAAGATATTGCTATAAACATCAGTAGAAATCTGAAGGATTTAAATCAAAAATGTAAGTAAACCAAATAAGGTAGGGCTGTAATGAACAGTATGCTTGTCTGGGAAATGAAGCATCTAAGAGTCAGATGGTTCACACTCTATTAGGTGCTGAAGGAAAGAAAGCTCACTGGAATAGACATGCTGCTATACACACTAATCTCGTATATTTCTTTACAGCTATAGACTATGTAGAATAGCATAAGAAAAAGCGCATCAGAATTTATGTCCTGCTTTACCCCAGGTTTTGGATCTGACAGGAAGTAACACTTCCTTTGATTCATATTTTATTGTTGCTTGTGTTGAGCCTAGCCAGTACTCTTAAATGTTTCATACTTTCCTGGAACATGTCTGTTGGTATCACCACTTGGTTTTGGGGCAGGGGAAGGAAGTAGCTCTAAATTGTTCTATCTGAAGAATGTAATGGAAATGCATTTGTTTCAAGTGTGAACTGTTTCTTGGAAGTGAATTACTGAGAACTGACAGATAAAATTTTTATACTTTTTAAAGATGCTGCTCTTCAGCCATATCTGGAACAAATCAACCTAATTGAGGAACAGGTTGCAGCTCTGGAGCAGGCAGCTTATAAATTGGATGCATATTCCAAAAAACTTGGTAACTATTGTCCTCTACTGTTACTACCTAGCATTATAGCCCCTTGGAAGGAGATTAAAAAAGGCAAAGTAAACTCCTCCTCTGTTTAACACATCTGAGCTGCCTGTGTTGCTTTTGAGCAACAAACATTGTGTATGAAGTGGTAAGCACTGGGAAAAGATTAATGTAACAAGTTATATGGAGGTGGACTAGTATAGGTATTATTGAACTACAGCTTATTATTGAGGCTTGATTTCTCTTTTACAATATGAACTGACCCAAGTTTTAAAGACAGTTGTTTAATCTTGCAAATAGAGGGATTCATAATGTTCCACTGGGTACCCAAGTCCTGTTGGCTTAAATATTAGTTGTCTGACTTAAGCACCTGGTTCTTAAAAAAATTTGTTATATAATTCTGTTTGCCTAAATGCTTTAGTAAAAAATGAGTGATACTGTAAATTAACTTGAATTTTACAGGATTCAAAGCTTTTACCTATCCAGTCCTAAAATATTGTTATTTTTCCTTCTGCAGAAGCCAAGTACAAAAAACTGGAGAAACGATGAAATTACAACAATCTTTAAGTTGGAGTTGGGCTATGAGTCAGACTGATTTCTGTTTAAATTGTACAACAGCAATTCTGTATGTTGACAAGGATTTGGTTACAGCTAACATCAAGACTGGTAACTTTTTTAATCTATTGAATACAGTAAGCTGTATTCTGGCTTAAGGCTGAATAATATTTTCCTCTTCTCAAGAGGATCTGTTGCTTCAGTTGTTCTGCAGTGAAAAGTAGAAGCTTGTCCCTAACCCAGATGTTGATACTGGCGATCTGCGTGAGTCCTATGCCCCACATGAAATACTCTATCTAGGAAAAGCTCTCCATAACCTATAAAGTCACTTTCCCTTGGTAGCAGCAGGACCTAAACTTCATGTTTAACTTCATTGAGCTCTGCATTGAGAAGATACCTGGGCCTTTGGAGTTATGAGCATGATAACGAAAACACATAATTTTGGTATCCACCTATATCTGTTTGAAATAGAGAGACTAATTATAAATTTACAATAAACCAACTTGCTGCATTTCTCTCTGGAATCTCAAATTCCTCTTGGAAAGATGATGTAAGTTGTCCTTTTATTTTTTCAAAAGGTATGTTAATAAAGAAAAACTCCTTCCAGCTACAGGAGATCATAGAAGAGAATATGTTTTAAACTCTTCCTCAAGTATTCCTGCAATTACATTCTTTGACTGTCTGGACCTCAGGTGAAATTGCAAGAAGTATTGCTTTATCACATGCTCAGTTAACTTGGCAGATCTTTTAACTACTTTACTAGTGAATTTTAATCCTAGTAGTTTTTGAAGAGGCATGCCCAGCATAAAAAGCTTACTCTATCAGATTAATAGTGTTCCAATTTTCTAATTTAGCAGAGCCCTTCTTACTGAGCAGATACTTCTCTACTCCCAAGTTGTTTTTTTTTCCTGTACCTATTTACCCTGACTAGTTCAAGATGGCTTTTGAGTGGGTTGCAGTTAAGGATAGTACAGGGGCTGATGTAGGAAAGAAGTAGACAACCTTCGTACAGGCTGTTTAGAAAAATGTCTAGTCAGCTGCCAGTGTGGTAAAGTTCGTAATGCTGTTAGCCAGTGTACAGCCACTGTAAATAGTCAAAATGGACACTTTTCCCTAGTGCTATTTAAAAGCAGTGAAGCAGCTGACCTTTGAGAGCCTTTGTCATCACTTTAAGAATCATGAGTTTAAAATAGAAAATACTATATGGCCTTGATGTAGGATTTGAGAAGGTTGAGTTCACTTTAAAGACAGGCCTTTTTGGAATGGGCAACTTTAAAGAACAGGATTAAGTCTCCCAGAGGTATCCAGCCATTTGTATCTGTATTGCTTTTTTTTCATAGTTAGTACACTGATGACTTTTCTACCCGTGAAAGCAAATTAGACATTGTTGTCAAAGCCACATTGCCCAATGTGACAGGAAGAGGTACCAACAGATGAGATTGTTGCTGTGTTGGAGGAAATGACACCATGCAGAACAGCAGCCTGTTTTAAAATCTGACAGATCATCATCTTGGGATACACGCTGTGTTTGCAGTTCTGCTGGTCAGGAAGACCTAGCCAGCCAGATCTAAAATATTCGTGCCTAGAGACTGGTATTTGAATGATAGTTTGCCAGTGGCCTGCTTGGTGATCACAAATGCTGTGAAGTGGTACTACAAGGTGGTAGACTAGAAGTCCTGTTTCTCCAGTGTTTCATGCATCTGTAGATTATACAAGAGCTAGATGTGATACAGCCAAACTCCTAGTGGTTTGATAGTACCATCCTTTCTCTTTGCCATTGTGGAGGAGAATCACTGATATAAAAGTGTGAGAGTGCTGCTCAGAGTTCCTCTGTTCTCTGCAAGAATGAGGATTTTCATTATGGCATTATAGAACTTGCATGTGTCTGGGAGCTTAGTCCCTGATCCCTTGTGTGTTCCCTCCCTGGCCCCTACCCATATGTAAGAACAGAAGTTACTCATTCATATCAGATTGGAAATGGTTCTGAATAGATGGACATCATCTAGAGCTGGTGAGCCACTGAAATGCTTACAAGGGCAAGTTCTAGCATTGTAACCAGACCACTGATGTTCTAGCCTAGCAATCTCTTTGATTCCCAGCTTTCTGGGAAGATGGTGCTAGAGGTGCAGAGTGGATGCTGGCATACATAGGGATTGTTATGCACTCTGGCTAGGTGCCAACGCCAAGATGAAGGGATTATAGAGTTGTATCCCAATTATAATGAGAAATTATAATGGGAGAGGTGGCCATCTGCTGTCTAGAGAATTGTGATCATCTCTGTGTAATAAAAATATCAAGCCCTAAGTGCCAGTGACTGTACTATTGAATGGCAGCAAGTCAAAAAGGTTCTTCTTATGGCAGGTAACCTACAAGTCAAATATTAAAACATAGAATGAAATGTGGGCCAGACACACTCCTTGCTCTAATGGCAGCACACTGCCAATGTAGTTGCAAATCCATTCCCTTATGAATGTGGACCATATGCTCCGACCCTCAATGGGAGGCAGACTCCACAGATCCAAGCTGGGTATGGAACTGGATGTGTGACAGCCCTGCTCTGTCTTAAGATGAGTCCCAGTCACCCTCCATTAACACAGACTCTCCACATTCCATTTGGGATGCTAAAACTCATAGTTCCATAGTAAGAAGGATTCACTGTCACTGGGATATAACAGCAGCCTTGCTGTGTAAATTCTTGAAGTGGTCAGGAAGAACAACATGGCTCTCCTCTCTGTTCTGTGTTTACATCCTCTAGCACTTCCAGCTGCCTTGGACCCAGTAGGACATCTTTGCATCTTGAGACCATGGGGAGGCATATAATAGTGAAAATGTTTCAGGGCTGCTAGTCTTAAAAGAGACAGTCATGTGCCTTACCCTTCTTAAGCATAGTTCAATGTACCAAGCCCATACTGCAGCAGCAAGGCTTTGCTTCCATAATGCGTGCCTGGAGCATGCTGTGTTGCTGAAGGCAGCTATGGACATGACGGCAGCCCAGTAGGAAGTTTTCCTAACGTGGGGGTTAAACACAAGGATTGTCAGTGTTTGGGCAGAATGCATTGCACTCAAGGATATGTTAGCACTAGCTAAGCAAGAACACATTCTCAAGGCATGAGGGCTAGACTTTTTCCTCTGCTCAGCAGAAAACTGGAAATTTGTGATTAAGCAGATTATGACTACAAAACACCACTCTACAGTACACACATACTAGCTGTCAGTCCTCATCAGCACTTCTTGGGTCTCCAGAGACATGTCAGAAAGCAGAAGATGCTGTCAGTGTCATGACTAAGGTTGGAATGGTGCTCTCTAAGACAGCATCCATGAAGTTGTTGCTAACAGGTATTGCTCCTCACCCCTCAAGGCTGAGGGGATCAAGGGGACTCAGTGACAGTGGACAGGTAAATATGGTCACATGAAAGTAAAACCATTGTGTCTCATTCCCTCTGTACTTACCTGAAGAATGCTTAGTCTGCATGGAGCTCCCTGGCCTTCCCAACCCACCTCTTCATAGTCAGAAGCCCAGTGTCTGGTTTGTGTGTTCATAGCAGGGCAAAGAGCTGGCTCAAGAATAGATTTAAATGTATTCGAGTGACGCTCCTATTTCGATCTGGTTTTATAGAACCACTGGCTTAGCCATGTCTTGTTTTAATCACAAGTACATTTGGTAGTTGCTTTGATGAAGAGATCCAATCACCACTTGCAACCCAGCATGCTGTTGGAAGGCCTAGGAGTCTGTGTGATCAGTGCATAGAAAATTACAAAGAAAAATAATACGGCGTTTCTCTGCTCGTCGTCTTTCCTTGACAGGATTGCAGGAGGGCCACAAGGCGGCGATGTGTCAGCAGAGAAAACTTCCACCACGTAAAGCCGTAGAGGCAGAGTAAGGACGAAATCTTGCTCCTGTTGATAACGTTGCTTTTCTAAGTATAGAAAATACAATGCTATTTTAAAACTACAAAGATTAAAACCTCCAGGAACTCTGAAGATGGAAATCCACCTAGCCATGCATTGCTAGCAAGTGCTTAGTGTTTTCAGCTAAGAGAGCTAGGAAATAGCAAATTACTTCACAAGCTCTTGAGTATCCCACCTCCAGGAAGTAGAAATGGGAAGAGGAGCTTGTCCCACAAGTGACTATTTACTGGGAGGAAATTTTAGAGACTGACTACCTGGCTGCCTGGAGGATTGTGTGATAGTGGCATCCCAGTTAAGCCAAATGCTGACAGCTGCGTTCCCAGTTTTTTGCCTCCAAGTAACTATTGTCCTCTCTGCCAGAGGGGCCTCTGTGTGACTGGTAGAATCCAAATCATGGTGAAGATGACAGGTCCTTGGAGAGTAGTACCACAGAAGAGACATAGCTAGGTGTGTGTGAACAGCACAGTACTGGGGAAATGTATGGTCCAAAAGCAGAGGCACAACTTGGTTGCTTCTCAAACATTTCACCTGAAGAGTCCGTGAGAAATTCCAGAGGTGCAGAGGTATAGGGGGAGACTAAATTTCTATCTCTTCTGCAGCATTTCCTAGTGGAAAATGTTCCCATTTTTTTGTCTGGGATAGAGTTAATTTTCTTCCTAGTAGATGGTATAATTCTGTGTTTTGGATTTAGGATGAAAATAATGTTGTTAACACACTGATGTTTTAGTTGTTGCTAAGCAGGGTTTACACAGATTCAGGGACTTTTTAACTTCTCACCCCATCCCACCAGTGGGTAGGCTGGGGACCACAAGAAACTGGGTGGAGACACAGGCAGGACAGCTGATCCAAACTGGCCAAAGGGATATTCCATACCATATGATGTCATGCTCAGTATATAAACTAGGAGGAAAGCTGGCCAGGGACCACTGCTTGGGAACTGGCTGGGCATTGGTTGGCAGGTGGTGAGCAATTGCATTCTGCATCACTTGTATATTCTAATTATTATAATCAAATTATTATTGTTGTTATTTTCCCTTCCTTTTCTGTCCTATTAAACTGTCTTTAACTCAACCCATCAATTTTACTTTTTTTCCCCCCCCCCAGTTCTCTCCCCTATCCCATTCAGGGGCAGGGAATGAGAAGCAGCTGTGTGGTGCTTAGTTGCTGGCTGGGGTTAAACCACAACAAAAATATAATAAGAAAATATTACTCGAAAGGAAGAACACACAATAGAATAGAGGAAAGGGAGCAGTGACAGATGAGTGTCAAGGACCTTATCAAAGGACCTTATCAAAGCAGTCTATGCAACTGCTTCGGAGCTAAGCAGTTCTTGAGGTCTTGGACTGCAACTGCAAACCAGGTGGTGAAAATCACCCTAGCACATACAGATCTAAGCAGAAATGGAAGACTTCAGTTCCAGAGGAGGACATTTTCCCTGGCGCCTCGAGACAGTTCTGCCCAGCTACTCTAACAAGTTATTCTGTAGTCATCCAACTTTCAGAGCAGTACTTTGTGGAGATGTCCACAGTATTCACAATGGGCTCTTAAATCATTAGTAGAAACTGCCACATGTCCAACAACTGAAAAACAACTCTTCTAGAA